ACTTAAATTATTAAGTGTGTAATCGAAGTAATTTTTTAACTAATTTACCTAAAAAATGGCACTTTTGATATAAAAAGTTTCACTCACAATGAAATAAAGACGTAATTTCAATGGCCTTGAAAAATGTTTAATTCTACAGAAGGCATCCCCTGTTATTGCCCAACATGTCTAGACAAAGACTATATATGCCAAGACGGTTTACATATATTACACTGAATGGGAGAAACTGCTACACATAATATGGTGGAACAAGTAGTTCTAAATAAAAGAGCCAATAACCAATTGGTAAAGTCACTGCATCACTGCGACAGCACATGCACATTGGCTGGACCAACTTTAAATTTTCCAATTTTCATTTAAAAAAAAAAGTAATACTATCTGAGGATAAGAAACAAATTTTGGGGACAGTTAATTTCAGATTGAGTTGCTGATTTGAAATATGTTTGAATGTGAATTTGGCAAGAGATTTCAGTATTTCCCCATTCAAGTAGATTGGCTGCCAAGTGAACAGACTTTCCCTGAAAGAGTCTTCGGATAGATCAGTCCGACCCTCTTTATTACTAACCCCCATCATTGGACACTTTTGTTTGAAGAATTAATCATGGCTGTCGAATATGTCTGTACATAGGATATTTCTACATTATCATTGGTAAAAGAAAAACATTGTATCCACGCTTTCAGACAATGACAATGTCAAGATTTATCAGGCTCAAATTATGAAATTTGGTTTCAATGGTTTGGAGGGACATGAAGAATCATTTTCACACATGAATAGGCACCTCTGAGTATTGTCAGACTTTACGGAGTGCTTTTTACACCCCTTGATGGAAATAAATGTTGTGATTTCCATGCATACATTTTTGACAATGCAAGAGTCAAGCAATCTGTAAAGTCTACTCCTGCACATCTCAAAGACTTTCAATGAATTTAGTGTTTGGAGGTGCCTATTCAAGTGTAAAAAAAATGATTCTTCATGCTATCTCCCAACCATTCTTTCAGTTTGAGCCTGATGGATCTTGACATTGTCATCCTGGAATATGGCCATGATGTGTCTTCCTACATGGTTGTTTAAGAAATGAAAGGTTTGGGTTAGAAGAACTATTTCCAGACATATAACATGCTAGAAACATAATAATCACTGCAATAATGATCCGATCATAGACACTTAAGCATTTGCCAATTTTAATCCAAACAGCAACTTTTTCTTTTTTTTTTGTCCGGGCAGTGTATGTCCATCCATATTAAGCTGGGTTGAGAATAAAGCATTCTAAGACAGCAAACAAAAATCACACACTTCAACTTCAAAACATCAACCAACAAATTAAAACAGGACATCGGAAGATTGTTATTCTTTGTAATTTTAATTCCCATAATTGAATTAGTTAAAATGCAGACAACTTGCACAAAAAAAGTTCCAAAAAGAAAGAATACAGCAATACAGTACATATGCAGATAAGGGTTCTTTTTTAAATCTAAAAGCCCTGTCTTCAGATGGTTCCAGACAGTTAACAGCATAGCATTCACTTCATCATGGAAATAGAGACGGCACAGCAGGCAATCAGCAGGCCAGCAGAGGATTGGGCTACATTCTATTTTCAATTGCAGATAAGAACATGGAAACTTAAACTCTATTAGTACACTACGGGAGAACGTCACTATAGGCTGCCAAGGACAGTTATGAAACCTTTTGTTATCACACCGGTTGAGGATATGATATGATGATTTTGTTTGTGCAACTCCTACCTAGTGATTTCTTTGGATATGTCCAATTATAAAATGTCCATCAAAAAAAGCACAAAATGGCACTGAAGTGTTTGATTAGCATAGTAGTGGCTAAAATGCCATTCTTTGAATATGTAACTCAGAACCAACTCTGTGGCCAAACTACTGCAGCCCAATGTTCAATTACACAAATACCTGAACGCAGACAATTTCTCACATTTCCCGTGTTGCACAAGGGATGCTATAGTACGGAGCCCCTAAAGGGACATGGTGACAGAAAAAAATATGAGATGGGAGGAAAAATTATGTCAATGCTTTTGCGTTCTCTTGTGAAATGTTTGACCTCCCCGAGAAACTTTGCATTCGCTCTCAAAACTGTTGAGTTCTTTGCAAGCGAGCGCAAAGTTTCTTGGGGAAACGCAAAAGCATTGAAATATATGTTTTCCATCACCATATCGCTTCAGGGGTTTCGTACTATAGTGGGAATTAGTGTAAATGGCTTTTAAATAAACTACTTTCTTGATAGAGCAACAGTTGGAAGAGAATTTAATTGAGAAATTGAGTTAAAGTCAATTTTTATAGCAAATTACCTAGATGAAATAACATTTGGTTTAATGTTTGAAAGCAACTAAATCACCCCCTTTAGGCAACACAAGAGTGCATGTGTGCTGGTCAAACCCAGAGCGTCTGCATTCGTGTACTAGTGTAAAGTGTTTCTGGCTTTTTATTTTTACTGCGCATGTGAATGATTTCGCTGGTGTGCCGCTATAAAACTAACCAAGTCGTAGCAGAAAGGTTGATTATATCGCCAGTTTGACGCAAAATGTCAGATGCAGGTTAGTAAAACTTTTCGCTGTGCCCCTGCCTGACTCTCAACGTTGGTAACGCCACTGCTGGTGAAGGTCCGATTGACCACAGTCTGGCAGCTCAATATTGCATTTCAGGGAAACAAAATTACAAAGGTATTCAACCTTACTTCTCAAAAAATAATCATGAAAAACTGTTGAATTTTAACAACTCACAACCTCTCTCTCACGCAAGGGAGAGAGATGTCCCTGGGCAAGAAAAAACAATGGATATATGGAACCAATCCACATTACTAACCCCTGTCTTACTCTTTTGCACTAAAATCATCTTTAAGAAAATGTCCAGTGGTATTCAGCACTGCATTTTCTTATAATAGTTACTGGTACTTCCACATAACCGCTGCTCAGGAGCCCAGTCTACTCTCCATGTAAGAAGTCGCCACCTAGGTAAAACTTATATATGTAGAAAAATATAGTTTAATGAAATTTATATATCTATTCATTTCTTTTTTCTTTTTTTTTATCTTATCTTATCCACCATGTAAAGTTGTGAACTACAAGTAGCAGTGTGAGTAACACAGGATCATGATGGATCACACTGCTAAAACACAAAATGACATGAAACACCTTTGCACTATGCCTGGTTATTTCATATTTAATTTGTGATTAATAGTTAGTTGATTGGCATATTTAGGCAACTGCAATGAGTTATTCTACAATATGATTACAATGTAAACACCACAGTACTGAAGTTACTGTATCCAACAAACGGTAAAGCACAACATTACAAGGCAAATGGCCATTTAAGCATAGATTTGTTCTTGATGAAAAATAAAAACAAAATTAATACACACACACACACACACACACACACACACACACACAAAGAAACAGCAACACTTTGCATTGGTTATAAGCCACACGTTTGTACAGTTTCCAAATCAGGTGACTATCCCGAGGCAGATTAAAATGGTGTCTGACAAACATCTAAGCTCAGTTCAGCTGATATAGCATGGTCATTTTTTGGACGGAAATCATGAGACTTTTTGGTTTCTTGTGGTGTCAGGGCCACAAATAGGTTGTTACATCTTGACCTGATGTTAAACAAGTTCCTCTTCTGATAAAGCTCAATGTGATATCAGTACTGAAGGCTTTATCAGTGAGGCTGAATCAAGTAGCTGGATGCTGATATGAGATTCACCAATAGCCAGACCCAGCATCTAATACTGCCTCTCCAAAAACCATCTATGTGAACTGGTTAAATCTACGTTTGTGTGTTTGTGCTGGTTTTATGGGTTCACCCAAGGGCCCGTTAGGGGATTTTGGCTGTTTCGGCACATACAGGCTTTTATATTGGCATCATCCATTGGGCTCGAAGAACATTTTCTACTAGGGCTAGACAGAACTACTAGCATCCTTTATATACTTTCCGCAATACAGAGATAAACTGATCTCTTTTGTTTGGAAATCATTTAGATTGTTGTAATTACAAACACTGTCAAAGAGTTTGCCAATTAAACTTGACCATCAGAATCTTTGGCTATTTTCCAAAAAGGGAATCAAATCAAATGAGTTCAAATCACCTATTGATATGTATGGATGGATTAAAAAAAGTTTACATTTAATAACTCAGATATGCTCCTTTATCCCCTCGTTAAGTTTTAATATCTTTAAAACGATGGTGAATTCCTAATATTTCACTGACATGGGAATCTTCTAGGTTAGTAAAGTGGTAAATCATTTATTTGGAAGCTATTCTTGATATACCCTGACAGGATTATGAATGTAGCGTCTTGTCATAGGAAAGTAAATCTTTAATATTTGATCATTTTCATATGCTTGGAAGAGCATACGTTTCATGCAACTACCAAACCTGGTCTAAAGTCTCCTTATATGTAACAATATAAGACCTCGAAATAAGACATAACTAAAAATCTAAAATCCAAAGCTGAATATATACACAGTAGAAATTATAGTAGTATACATAGTTCAAAACATGATTTTGTCTTCACACCTTTGTTAAAAAAAAAAAAAAAAAGGTCTGAATGGTAACATATCGAAAAATAAATACACCAATAAAAGAACAGGGAATTCTTGCACATTATCCACTAGAAAAATGATTAATCTTATAATATGTCATGTATTATGAGATAGCACAGTTTTGTCACTTGTCTTTTATGTGGCATAGAGGGTTGACTGAGGTATGATTTTAGCAGGTTTTGAACAGCAGGATGCTTCTCAGTGTCATTTACGCAGAAGTTTGATGTTTCAGCGAATGGCAATAAAGGTGCGGTTATAACACACCACACATGGCATATTTCAAAACATTACATTTAGAGGCCCAGGAATAGTTAACTATATTTTGTGCCAATATACTGTGAATTGTGCCATAAAAGTCCCGTTTCTTTGTGTACTGATATTTTATGTGAGATTGGCAATTGCAACGGCTACGAATGCACTGAGTTTGTGCACATCTGTCCAGTTCTGTCTACTCCTTTTGAACATGTAGGACCACAGATGTACAACAACTATTTTTTGGAACTTTGAAAATGTACCATTTCATATCACTGAGTCAAAGACCTTGCGGTTTATGGTAACATTTCAACGAAACAATAGAAAAATGAAACGGAAATAAATACTCTTGACAAGATTAAGGATATTTAAGTCAAAGGATTCTGGACGCTTTTCCAGGCAGCATTTGAAGACTCTCCCTACCCTCTGGTTGTCCCCTTATATCATGATATTTCATTTTTTTTCTGTTTCTGTCTCTGTTTGATTTTTTCATCATTACCCTCCTATACCTCCTTCTCTCTTCTCCATTTCCCGTCTCAGACGTAAGGCAGGATGCCGTAGACGAACAGGGCCATGACAGCAGCGCTGAAGAGGCCTGCTAGAGGGACAGTGACAAACCAGGCCAGGAAGATGTTCCGGAAGAGACGCCAGTCTACAGCCTTCTTAGAGCGGATCCAGCCCACGGCCACCACTGAGCCCACCTGCACCCACAGCAGAGGCAAAATCAGCAGTAGCACGATACACAAACATGAAATGAAAGCAATAAAACATGGATTTCATCTTTCAGATGGGGAACTAGGGATACAATATCTACGGAATGTATTTTGTTATTCCTGAAGGCTTTTTAAAGACCCCATGAAATCACAATCGTAGTTTTATGTCCTGTTGAATCAGGATGTTAGATGGATGCACATTAAAGTGTTCACCCCATTATTATTAGCGCTGGGAAATTGAGACATCTTGTTGTTAACAGACTGAAACATATCAAGATATAATTTATATCAATATAACAATATTCACTATACAGAAATGATGTTTAAAGGCATAGTTCGCCCAAAACAGAAAATTCTGTCATCATTTACTCACTCTCATGTCATTCCAAATAGGTAAGACTTTCGTTCATTTTTGAAACACAAATGCAGATATTTTTGTCAAACGCTCAGCATGTTTGTCACTTCAACCATGCACGTATAAAAATACATCATAAAAGTAATCCATATGAATCAAGCAATTTAATCCAAGCCTTCTGAAGGTACATGATTGTTTTATATGATGAACAGATTTAAATTAGGTTACATTTTGTTTTATTCATATATAAATTTGGTTAGTTCAATTATATTTTAATTGGGTTTTACGTGCGTACACCTACCAACACCAGTTGCCACGATGTTTGGAATGACTTATCGTGAGAGGAAAACAATGTCATTTTAGTCGCATAACATCGGTTAATGGAAACGCCGTCATTTAGCAATAGTTTTTTAATCGACATTTAGCAATTATCGCAAAAGTTCTGCACAAATCTGTAATGGAAACCAGGCTTGTCTTTAGCAAACTGAATGTTCAGAAAGCCAGCGAAAATTATTACCATATGGACCACATTTTATATCGCCACCACGAATGTATAGGGAATATTTGATATATCGCACAATTATATTATAGAGAGCATTTTACCAAACAAAAAGTTTTGGCAAAAGCTCTGACTAGCCAATACATGGCTTCAAAGCTAACAGACATGAGCTAAAAGCAAGAAAACTCCAATTTTGATTTCATAGGGTCATGTCTCCTGAATGCATTGACATAGCACAATTAATAATCAAATCCATGTATTTTGTTAAGTACTGGGGGGCAGTGGTTAGTTAGAGGACACAAAGAACCACATGGTTTGAAATGAAGCTTTCTTTTCCTTTATAAAACTCTGGGTCAATCCTCAGTAAATTACAATTAATGTAATTTAATTTAGTGCTTTTAACAAAGCCATTATTCTGCGCTGCATTAGCCATGTTCTCCTTTTGCTTGAAAGGTAAAGTCATGTCATGTCCTGCCTACCACAGGGCAGCGGGAGGAGTAACATTTCCATACATGCTGTGTGACTCAGGGGTGCTGGTGACAGGTGTTGTGCTAGATACAAGAGCGATCTGGCTGTTCTTATACGGTCATTGTAACCGAAGCCTCCGTCACAGGGGGGACTAAATCTGGAGCAAAAGTCAACCCAAAGTCAACAACAGAGAATAAAAGACTTCAGGCCTTTAATTCTCCCATGACTTTCTTCAACATTTAAACCCCTTGAACTACGCAAACTTCATGTAAGATGTAACCTGTGGGCCATGCAACTAATCCACGAATTCAAGACAAGTATCATGATCTTTCTGTGAATTTGGTGGTATCATTTGTTTAGCAATTTTTTGAGGCTTTAATTTATATACACCTGATGAAGATGAGACTCCTCCACAGCTGACAAGTGTTTGTTCTGGTTTCAAAATGATGCAGTATAGGTGGCTTTACTGCACACAACTCAACGTGAACGGCCTGGCCTGCCAATTCATATTTTGGATGCTATGACACAAACACATTCCCAACAGTAATGCTGATAATTCGAATACCCAAACTAGGGCTGTCAATCGATTAAAAAAAAGAAAAGAAAAATTATAATAAACTTTATTAGAAATAAAACATTAAAGAAATAACATTTAAAAAATGTGCTTAACCCCATAATGGGTAACAGGGTTGATAAAACTAAACTGAGCTGCTAGTCAATAGCAGTGTTATTGTTAACTTAAAACTAAAACTCATTTTCTGTAAATAAAATATAAATATTAGATGAAAAGCTTAAACTTAAACATTTCTAAAGAAAAAAAAAAGGAAAAAACGAATAAAAATGACAAAAGCACACAAATTACTAAAACAATCTAAAATGAAAATGAAAATTGAAAAAATTTCAAATTAAAAATAAATTAAAAATATTATTAATACAAACAATAAGATAAATACTACAATAGTTTATAAATAATAGTAAAATAACACTGGTCAGTAGGGGCTAGATAGTTTGAGGCCAAATGTTGTTTATATAATTTCCATACATTCTGCATTTAAATTGTCGCATATAGTCGCAAACTGTTGGATATAGAGTTGGGTATCGGGTTGAATTTAAGCGATTCTGATCCTGCTTATCGATTCCCAGTTTCGATTCCAGTAAGGTAAAAAACATTAAGTCGAACTTTTTGTTGCAGCAGATTTCCATGAACAAAAATAATCAGCCTAAAGAACCCTCACATTTTTCTATGGTTTTAACAAAAATAAAAGCCATGAAAGTTGTTTGAAAATGATGGCGACTTTTCAAAAACACTGGCAGGGGAAAAGAGTTAACGTTAAATTGACAGCGTTAATCCAAACTGTTAACATGTTAAATTGACAGCCCTAATCCAAATTAGCCTCAATCCAGTTTTTAAAGCACTGGAAAGATTTTACAAGATGTTTATAAATCTGAATAGAGTTCATGGAGTAGAATGAAGCCAAACATGCTTAAAGCCCTTGAATTACAAAGCATCCCAGAGCCCCAACAAAAAGCACACGCAAGAGAATAGAGAATACATAGAGGTCAGCTCATGTCCACTCCAGGGATTTGTAGCAACAATAAGTAAATAGGCTCATTTTTGTTTTGATTTTTGACTATAGGCGAAGTTGCTGGACTGTCAAGTTTTGGCTGACTGTGAACAGTTCAGGCTGTTGACCTATGGTAATGAGGAAACATTAACTACTTTTAAATGGCATCACTGCAAGTGACATGGTGTTGTTAACACGTTTAGTGTCTCAACTACAATGTATGCACTACACAGTAACTTTAAAAAACAAAGACTTTGATTACTACCTTTTCTTTAAAACAACTTAGTAGATGAAAAAAGAATGAATCAAAAAAGTGAATCAAAGCTGCAATCATGGAGTGACATGTTTTGCAGAGGTGAGCACTGATTGGCTGTTCGGTGATTATGCTAGTGAAGCTATGGGGTGGAGTTTAGCACTACCAAAGCTTCACTACTATACCAATACCTTGCAGTGGGTGGAGCTTATAGGAACGCCCACATTTGAGGCAACAAGCACGGTTAGAGCGCTCATTACTTCAATGCAAAATCCACTGTGACAAAGACAAACAACAGATAAAATGTAAGAGACAGGCATAGCATGGAGCAAGACACCAGTGGCCCCGAGCATACGTGGACAAATACACAGCGACATGCCATGAGACAGATGAGGAGGGGACAAAGAGATGATGTGGTGAAGCATCACTTAAACACAAATCTGTGAAGAGAAGACAGAGTTATTTCATTCTGTATGCACCAAGGCCACATGTGAGAGGAGAGGGAGTACTCGTCTTCATTTCTAAAGGGTTTGAGAGAGCCGTCTCTTAGCCTTGATGAGAGGGTTCATTGTCCCAGGATTGACATCAGTGTGCACTAAAGTTGATTTATAACCATCAGAAACAGTGACTAAGCCAATGAAATCAGTAACTGGATGACTCACATCAGAGAACCTAGGATGCCTGCAAGAGTACCGGTAATCATGATTAAAAAGAAATGCAACAAACGTCAGTGTGCTTGACCTTCAGAAAATGTTGCTCATCCACTTCAGGTGGTAAAACAACATATTATATGAGATGCTTTATTTTATATTTGTATATACGTTTCGGAGAATTTTTTTCAACCTGTTACTAAAACGTAGTTAATTTTGTTATGTCTAACCATGCATATTTATGTGATTTATAAAAGAAAAAATTTATTTCATAATTTAAACTAATAATTTAAATAAGAATAAGACAATGTTTGTTGGTAGTTATTGACCAAGTTATTTCAGTATTATTTATACACTATTATAGTATTTATTTTTATATTTTCAGCTGTCATTTTAATTTTAGTTTAAGTTTTAGCCATGTTATTACATGCTTTTGTTTTTGAATTTTTATTTCTGTTTTAGTTTGTCAATTTAGCATTTCAACTTGAGTTAGTTCCAGAGACAAAATTTCTAATATTAAAGTTTAAAGTCTATTTTTAATAACAACACTGATTATTGATCAGCTTATATTATAAACTATATTTTTACATAAATAAAAGAAATGTATTGAAACAAATTCTCCTTACAGTACCTTAACTTTAATAACAGGGTACAATGGAGGAATGCAAATCAACAATAAAAGTCTAATTTATTATGTCTTAGTGTAGTATATATTTATTATTTATTATGAATTAATTATGCTTGTGGTAATTAAAGCTAAATAAGAATTTTCTAAAATGAATTTAATTTGTAAAATTGTATCATTGTGTGATTTTAAATGTTAATATACACAGGATTAATTTTGAAACTCCTACAACTCATACCATGTTCATTTTATCATATGTTATCTAATTTTTCTAAGTACATGTGACATGTGCGTTTATTGCAGCTGGACAGCACCCTATTTTATAGGGTGTCAAGTGTTGCTGTTCATCATTATTTGTGATTCACAACAGCATCATATGCTGAAAGCTGTTTTCGGCAGCTCTTGTTCCCTGTACAAACAGACAGCTCCCTCCTCTCTCCGGTGGCGTGCACACAATAACCCGAGGGGGCCAGCTGGGGTCTGACCCGATCTTTACCTTGCAGTGTGTCGTACTGATTGGAAGTCCGATATTGGACGCCAAAACAACAGTGAGCGCAGAGGCCAGCTCAATAGTGAATCCACTGCGGGGGGAGGGCAACAGAACACAACTTTATACAGTTACACCTGCAGTTAAACCAGTTATGACAATGCATGCCACTGAGAAAGGCTGGTACACACGTACAGCACGCAGGTCTAGAGGAGCAGAAACATTTTAACAGACGTGCAAGAAGACCACGAGGAGATGAAGGTGGTGTAGTAACAAGAAAACAGGGTTGACAGGTTTTCTGACAGTATTTGCCTATGAAATGTGTGGGTGAGAGAGAGTAAACGTGTGTGTATGCATGCAGGTGGAAACAGCAGCAGCCTTGTGGTGATTATGGTTGTGCTGAAATTGTGCTAATAAACTCTCCTGTGGCCTCTTAAAACACACACAGACAGCAGGAACACGTGGGTAAAGATAAGCACTGTGCACAAACAAGCAGACAAACCATCCACAAAATCATGCAAACCCATCTAAACAGCAAGTTTTGAAATAATGCATATTGCATGAAGTTCACTATCTCCTTACATTATCCCCAGGGTAAAGTGCCCCTATTATGCTCTTTCGGATATTACCTGCCATGCAGTGTGCGCTACAGCTGTTCGTGAATGTAAAAGGTCTGAGAAGTTTCAAAGAGCAAATAAATGGAGTCATTGTCTCCCAAAAGAAAGAACCTATTCTGCCTGAAACGTGTCATCAGTAATTACGGTCTTAAATCCTGCACAAATCTATTTAGGTTTGTAACAAATTTGCATAATGCCAGCCTATGGTCTTCATTGTCTACCCAGGAACCACAATCTACTTTGATCTGCACTCAAACACAACTGTAATAGATTTAACAGAGACTTTTTATGTAGTTTCACTGTAAAATACTGTTAGTGTACAGATTTTGGAAGGAAAAAAAAAAACGGTGAAAAATCGTAAATTGACATTTCCAGAATTCCCTATGTGACACTTGACACTTTAAGTCCCGTAAAACCTAAAAGGTTGCTACCATATTTTTTAAGGTAATACACTTGCAACCACAGCTGCCGTTTTTACTGTAAATTTAGGGGAGGGGTTCAGTGTGCAGTTGTAGCTTCGTGTTATCAATAGGTAGAGAAGATGCTGTTTGCAAAAGCAAATCCACTTTGCATACACTTCCAAAGCATAAGAACTCGCACTCAAATTGATATATGGCTGTGTATACAAATGCTGAAATTTAGATATGGTAATGGGCATTTCGTTTCTGACACGTGCTGTAAGCGGTAGACCAATGGCAGATGGCAGACTGGGCCATCTGACCAATCAGAGCAGAGTGGGTTCACGAAAAGAAGAGGCTTTATTGAACCGTTTCAGACACTGAGAAAAGAGGTGATGCTGCAATGTATATTATGAGAAAATAAAAGTGTTTTTTTGACCTTGGATGCATGTAAACCCATTGAAGGAGACCTCCAAAACAAAATTATGAACCTTTTAAATAGCATAATAGGGACACTAAAAAAAAAAAAAAACATTCTTCCTGTCAACAAACATTAAAGCCAAGGAGCAACCTGACAGATGCTGAGGTCATGCTGATTGTTATTTTTGTGAGCTATGCGAGGGAACATGGCTGGGAACATGGCCACCTGATCCACACTCACTTAGTATAGACTGGATTGTCATATAGAGTGACACCTTCAGTGTGAAACAACTACAGTCACCAACACACGTTTCCAGAAACTGCTAATTTGCGAGTATATCAATATAATTTACAAATAATAAGATTTTAATTCTAAAAATGACACAATCCCAATTAAGTTTAATGAATTTTCTTTTTTGTTAAAGTTTGTTGTAACTATAATTTTTGAATGAACGATGCTATATGCTATAATGCTACATAATTAGCAGCCATACTACATTATTCTACATTATTCATGCTACATTATATTCAAGTTCAATGTAAATCAATGGGATTTTTTTTTCACTAAAATTTCTGCCACTTAAAATATTAGAGAGAAAAAGGTAGAAAATGTAATAACAGATAATTTGATATAGAAAAAAAACAAAACAATGTGCCATGAAATGATTCAGTTTTAATTGCATCCAAGGCAGTGTTATTTTTAGTATCATTGACATACTATTATGGTTTTTATTTTATATTTTCTTTTTGAATTTTTAATTCAAGTTTTAGTTTATTTGTTTTTTTAATATGTCCATTTAGTTTATATTAATTTGTACACATTTTTATTTTCAGTATTTTTTGGTACATCAAGTTAAGCAAGATGAAAATGAGAAATATTTCCTTGGCAACTAGCTGAAATAAAATAGGTTTCAGTTTATAAAGTTTATTTTATTTGAAACCTATTTTATTTCAAGTAACAAGTTTTTTTTTTTTTTATGGTTTCAGTTTTAGTTAACTACAATAATTACTACAGTAACTACACCGGCCTGATCTAAGAAAATAATGTAAGTGATGATGGTTATACAGTATTGACAATAAAAAAATGTCATGTTCACGGTAGCGAGATTCTCGTGGAGAACCAATAATGCATAATTAAAATAATTTCTAAATGTAATACTTTAAACATATCATACACTATTTTGGAGCTTAGATGTTATTAGTAAGTAGTAGTCAACAGAAAAATATTATTAAATTGAAATAATTTGCCTAGTTTCAAAGCCATTTAAAATCATCTCTGGTTTCGGTTTTCGGCAGAATGTGTCCAGGAAATTTATGTTTTGACCAAGTTACATTTCAGTGTATAGTAATCACAATTTCTTAATAAGCATCCTTATAAAAAATTTCTCAAAACAATGATGAGATTTTTTTATAGGGTAAAATCTCTTGTTCTTATTATGAACTGGAGGTAATTTGTTTTTGACAGTTTGTCTTGTTACTATGAGAACGCAAGGTCGCTGAGGCCGTGTGCACAAGTGTCTTGCTAAATTTAGCAAACCCAGGCCGTTCTGAGTGAAGGGTGTAAAACAGTGACCGCTCTCTTTAAACTGCCTTTATTCTAAAGTGTGTTTAAAATGTAAAATTACGGTCATTCTGCGGTGATATTTAACCGGATTTGTGGTGGCAGCACAAAGAGGGATTGAGGGCAAGTACCCAAACGAGAGAGGAGAAAAGCCGATATACAGAACTAATCTAGCAAGATTTCAATATCAGATAAACTGTTGTGACCCTGCTGCCAAAGCACATGCTCCGTTTCTGTAGTCTACAATTACACCCTTCAGCACTGCTTTAGGACCAAGAGGAAGGTTTCAATTCTGTCAGATTTTTACACCAAAACTGGTCCTCCCCATCCGCTATTTTCCACTTGCTACAGGTAAAGATGGACAGCTTTTGTATTGCCAGAAATAAATAAATTATGGAAAATTGGGTTTTTGGCATGGGTTTACCATAGGAGGACACTTACATTAAGCCTGCTGTATACTGTGCAATTTTCTGTCCTTTCTAATTGCTGCTTGTTAGAATACTTAATATAAAACCCAGTGAGATCCTGGGTGAAATTACAAAATGGCTTAAAGGGATAGTTCACCCAAAAGTGAAAAATACCCAATGATTTACTCACCCTCAAGCCATCCTAGGTGTATATGACTTTCTTCTTTCAGACGAACCAAATCTGAGTTAGATTAAAAAAATATCCTGGCTCTTCCCAGCTTTATAATGGCAGTGAATGGAGGATGAGATTTTGAATCCCAAAAAAGTAGGGCTGTCAACTTTAGTCGTTTAGTCGACTAATCGTTCGATGCCGTCTTGGTCGACTGACATTCTTATTGGTCGACCAGTTGCATTTTTTTATTTTTTTTACCAATAGAAAGAAATTTTCAATGGTTTACTCCTTGATTTTTATTCCTTTTATAAGCAGTTATATATTACTGTATTCTAAATATAATTAGCCTATGGTTTATCTCCAACTTTAAATGCTTTAATTTAGGCTATTTTGTAACAGCGCCACAGTTTAGCGCACACACGTAGAACACTCGGTTCGCACCTGTGGCTGGCTGTGCTGCTGCTTCGTGCTCAGTAAGGGATATAGGTAGTTTAGCTGTATTCATTCAGTTAGAATGCTACTTGTTTCGGTTTTTATGTTTTTATACACTTTATGTTTTTATCTCGATGCGGGGTGGACGCACTTGGAAAAAAAAGAGCGCGTCGCACCGCGACCGCGTTGCTTCCATCATGAGCGCGCACACCGCGCGCCTTCATTTGAAATCGAACTTGAGCGCGCAAAAGACGTGAGCAGTCCCTTTAACGGCTTTATCATGCTGACTCAATAGATTGTGTTTTCTTGATATGTTTTTGTTTTTATTTGTACACTTGACGTATTTGAAAATAGCCTAAATAATGTAACAAAACGAAAATAAACCTATATGCGGTCCTACAATACAGCCTATTATTATTAGGATTGTTTTTTAGGCTCTCTGGGTTTTCTGTGTGTTTGTTTTAAAACTCCTAGATCGGCTGGACAAAAGTTAACCCATAGCTTTGAAAGTAAAGAAAAATATACAGCCTGTATAAACGAGAGCTTTTGTTAGGATGTTTCATTATGTGGCAGATAGCAGTTATATTGTGGCTGTTACTATAGACCTAGGACAGTGCTCCTCACTTTTTGCAGTTAAAAAAAATCACTTAATTTTCAAAGAATTGTATTATTATAGTTTTATGTATTTTTGATGTTTTTTTCGTTGTTGTTTTATAAATGCTCTATGACAATTGTTAAAAAATGTTCAATCAAAACATCGCGTCTTTTTTTTTTTTTTTTTTTGTCGACTAATCGTTGCGCAGGACAAGACTTTGGTCGACTAAGGATTTCTTTGGTTGACTACAGCCCTAAAAAGCACATCCATCCATCATTAAAGTAATCCATACGGCTCCAGGGGTCTAAAAGTCTAAAACGAGAATTTTTAAAGAGAAATGTTGGAGGATTTCGATATAAGAGAAGAGGAGTTTAAGTTTGTTGCCCGGGTCAGGGGTTACTCTTTTGGCGCAAATCGACTTGCGTAGGCCGTCTGTCGGAAGCTAGTTATTTTAGTTTATAAAGTTTTAAATATGGATTTTTTTCTTACACAAACGCATCGCTTCAGAAGGTTTTTATCAACCCCCCGGAGCCGTATGGATTACTTTAAATATGGTAGGATGTGCTTTTTTGGGATTCAAAATCTCATCCTCCATTCACTGTCATCAGGGCCGGCAGATAAAGAACCAATGTAGGAGAATAGTTATGCGCAAACAGCGGGAAACTCTGTGTAATTGTGAAGTGTGTGCATGTCAAAAAATCTATTGACATATAAACATGCACATCAACCCGAGCATTTTATTTAGTGTTCATGCAAACACTACGTTTGGACTCATCAATCGGAATAAATTCAGTCCGATTGAAACAAAAGGTGTGCATGTAAACATGTCACAAGATTGTTTGAATTTGGCAGAGATTTCGATTGAGCACCAATATTGTCGCAAATTGGATTATTCCAAGACAATAGAAGAGTTTGCAGCAGCCAAAGCAAGAAAGGTCCTCTTTTAAATGGTAAGTCAACTGTATTAATTCATCTTAAGTCAACAGTATGTGATATATATGAGATATGTGATAAATTGCATTTTTTCTCTTAAAAATTTGAACGTAGGGGGCGGCATATTCCTATTTTGCCCAGAGCTCTGGATTGTCTTCCCCCGGCCCTGACTAAATCATGGGGTAATTACAATTTTTGGGTGACCTGTCCCTTTAGGAAGACTTCTTACACCGCTGGATTAACCATCACATCTGCATGCAACAGAAGCACACACACACACCAATCATCATGCACAAACGTCATGCTCTCTGCCAAAAAGCAGATCTCACCTGGAGGGGGTGATGGGAGTGAGGTCTTTGCCCATTGTCTGAATGACACGTCGACCCCAAACCCACAATCCAGCACAGATTCCCAAGCCGCCATAGAACAGCAGCCAGATCGGTGTGGCCGCTTCCTGCATCACCCCACCCTGGTCGTAAATCAGCCACAGGGCCACCAAAGGACCAATTGCATTACTGCAGAAAAGACAAAACAAACATGTTCACATGTGAAAATTACTACAATGAGGATACAAACTGTATGGAGATCAAGTCATGTGGTCTTTAAATCAACATATTGCTTTAACTCTGCTTAATCATGATTACTTTTTTTAGTTAAGTTTTAATTAAGTGCCTACAGTTCAAGTTTGGGTAGGTAAGATTTTTGTAACATTATTGTGATTGCTGTCACTTGATTAATTTAATGTGTCTTTCATCTTCTTCTACAGCATCATAATATTTTGTGCTAGCAGAAGGGGTCATATTTTATAATTTTTTAGAATTTGCCCCCCAAAACTAGTAATAATTCAAAATTATATGAATGCACAAAGAAATATAATTGACAACTACTATTATTAGTACTACATTTCCAGTTTTTATATGTATATATACATACACACAGTACAGGTCAAAAGTTTAGAAACATTCATTTTTTTAATGTTTTTGAAAAAAGTCTTATGCTCATCAAGAAAATAAATAAAAAAATACTACAGAAAAAAGTAATATTGTGTAATATACAATGTGAAATAATGGTTTTCTATTTTAATACACTGTAAAATCTGTGATGCAAAGCTGAATTTTAATCAGCCATTATTCCAGTCTTCAGTATCACATTATCCTTCAGAAATAATTTTAATATGCTGATTTATTAATTTGGAAACAGTTTGTGCTTTTTTTTAATAATCTGTGATACTTTTCCCATGATTCTTTGATGAATAAAAGTTTAAAAAAGAACGGCATTTATTTAAAATAAAAGTCTTTTGTAACAATATACACTACCGTTCAAAAGTTTGGAGTCAGTCATTTCTTTCTTTTTTTTATGTAATACTTTTATTCAGCAAGGATGTGTTAAATTGATAAAAAAGCAAGATTTATATTGTTAGAAAGGATTTTGAATAAATTATGTTCTTTGACTTTTTATTCATCAATGAATCCTTAAAGTATCACTTATAAAAAAAATATTAAGAAGCACAACTGTTTCCAAAATTGATGATATCGGAGTATCAAATCAGCATATTAGAATGATTTCTGAATGATCATGTGACACTAAAGACTGGAGTAATGGCTGATGAAAACTTAGCTTTGCATCACAGAATTAAATTCTATTTTAAAGTATATTAAAATAGAAAACCATTATTTTAAATTATAATAATATTTCACAATATTACATTTTTTTTCTGTATTTTTGATTAAAAAAATGCAGGCTTGATGAGCATAAGAGACTTCTTTCAAAAACATTAAAAATAGTAATGTTTCCAAACTTTTGACCGGTACTCTCTCTATATAAGATGTTAACTGTTTAAGTTATTAAGCAGCTGAAGTTAGCCTGAACACATTGCCACATCTCACGTCTTAACAGTCTGGGTATGTGCCAAATCATCTGTAGATCCGTGAACCAGATCTGTGGCACTCAACTGAGGGCTTGTTCTCAGGACACACTAATGCTGTGGAATGTGGAAAAAACTATGCAAATACAGTAGGTCTTATTCTGAACTCGCTAATCACAAAGCATACCAAAACGCAAAAATACTGAAGTTTCTCAAAAGCATACTGAAACATAAGAAACGCCTGTCGTAGGAAAAAGAACCTTGGTTTTGAAACCAAAAACTACATCAAGTGGCATACCTGACATCATTCCCCCCGTGCGCAAACGATCCGAAACAGGCGGTGAGGATTTGCAGGAAGTGGAAGAGCAGGTAGACTTGAGCATTGTCCTTCTCTTCCTTTTCCTCATCAATGCCGTCCTCCACACCTTCAGCAGGGGCAAGGGGCTCCCTTTTATCGGCTGCCAACTTCACATCCACATCACCTTCCTCTGCTTCAATCTCGGCCTCCGCGACCGCGTTACAGTAGCTGGAGTAGCTGTCATACCGCAATCGCTTCTTGGAATAGAAGACGCTGTCGCCCACTAACTTCTCGCTGTCCTCTGGAGGAGGGGCGCTGGCCTCCGACCGTATCAGGGGTTGCATCGGCATGCCGCAGATGGCTGCTGTGTAGCACGTGTAGCTGTTGTTGCGGCGAAGGTGACGGTAGTTGTTGTCAGTACGCGAGGCGCTGCGCTCGTCCTCCAGGCGGCCCAGGTGGATCTTGTGTAGGAGGTCCTTGTAAAGACCAGAGTCCTTGTGAACAGTGTGATAGACCTGGCCGTCGCTGCGCATGTGTCCGTCAAAGCTGAATCCCCCATTGGAAATGGGTGACTTGAGGCAGCCGTTGGTCATGGAGTTGGTACGACCTGACATGAAAAAACGAAATAAACAAACATATCAGGTCAGTGCAGGACATTTTTTTCAGATGGAACCCATTAAAAACAAAATAACCACACCCTTTCACGTACCATACACTCTGCCGTTGGGGAGAACAGTGCCTCCATTAGCCAGACTGTTCAGCTCCCCTGTGGACTCCTCTGTCAAGGGCAGCACAGCGTCGTTGCTGTTTTTCGCACCTGGGAGCTCTTTAAACACGGGGGCTTCCTCTTCCTCCTCCGGAATTTTATCCAAACTCTCATCAGAGATGCGGGAAAGAGCATGCTCTTTCTTCAGGCGACCTGTTTAGGGGAAAAAAAGTAGGAAATCATTTAAAAGAAAGGTATCAAAATTAGGTAGGGATGCACAATATATTGGTAATGGTTAACACCCAATATTAGAGTTTTTTAATGATTGTATATTGGATATTTGTTTTGCATGCTCATTTCCCTAATTGTTCAATTTACATTACCTTTGTAATCATCTAACACTCACTGAAAGTTACCGTATTTTTTTACTTTTAACGGGTTTTTTTTTTATCTACTGAAATATGCTGTAACTAATATTTCAAAGCAACTTATATAATATGCACATCAAGCACGCAAAACATTTAGATTTGTGCTGAATGAGAAAGGTATGCAAGCCCAAGTTTATTTGTATAGCGCACATCCCAAACGCTGGTAGTTGCAGTTTTGCTTTAAATAAATTTGTCTAGGCTTGTCATTTATAATAAATGTTTACATTTAGAATGAATGTCTCTTTAATTTATTTGTTTAATACTTAATATTTTTCATTCCTTTCCTGTTCTGAATACTGTTAAATGTAGGCCTAAATGTAAATTTGTTGTGGAGTAAGGGGAACTAAAATGCATGTCTATAATGTTTGTAAAAAAAAATATATGTACCACCAGTATTTTACATTATTTCTGAATGTTATAATAAAATGTGGATTATATCTTATCTGTGGTGTTTTTCCTCTTAATGCAATTTTAACCGACTAATTTTCCAGAAAATACGGTAATCTTTAAAAACAATAATACCGGTAATCTTTTCAAATACATTTTTTTTTTTATACTGAACATTGTAATGTACCATTTAAAAGATTTATTTTTGTTTTATTGTTTTATTTTAAATGTGCTCTCTAGCATTCAAAGGTTTGGGGTCGGCAAGATTAATATAACAAAAATATGATTACAACTTACTATTTTTTAAAAATATGTAAAATGTATATTCCTGAGATATCAAGATCCTTCAGAAATCGTTGCTGATTAGGTGCTCAAGAATCATTTGTTAGAATTATCATTTTGTTCAAAACAGATTGTGCTGCATAATCTTTTTTTGTGGAAATCATGATATAGTTTTTCAGGATTCGTTAAAAAGTGACAGTAAAGACACTAAGGCCCTATCTTGCACCCGGCGCAAATGACTTTGTACACTGACGCATGTATCATTCCTATTTTGCACCCGCGCAAAGCGGGCTTTTCCCTCCACAGACGCACGTCGGTAAACTAGGAAATGATGAACTTGCGCACCCTGGGCGGGTCGGCGCAAAAAGGAGGCGTGTTTCCTGCGCAAACATTCCCTAGTGCTATTTTGCAGTTCCAGAAAACAATTGCGCCACTGACCAGAAAAAAAAACTAGTCTAAAGTCAGTGGCGCGTTGCGCATACATTCAGATGCTATTTTAAGCGCGCATGCTTGGCCATAATACAGAGTGTGTGAACAACGCGCATACACTGCAGATGCATTTTACTTTTTGCAAATAATACAGATAAGGAAAAATATTAAAACACGAGGGAAATCATTGTTGTGTCCATGATGATGGGAAAAGCTTACACATTTACCCAAATTATTATATGCATGTTTAACCGAAGCTAATTTGGGTGGGTTTGTCCCATCCCCAATGTCACTTCTCTTTCTTTTACGGCCCTGACGAGAACATCGATCTCCTCGGCTGTGAACCGATTCTGAAGCGCGCCTGGTAAATGCGCCGTAATAATAGGATTGCGAAATGGAACAAGCGCACCTCGTTCATCATGCTCTTAAAGGGAATGTGAATGACGCTCTTATTGGTTTGTTTCCCGTTACGCCCAAACCACACCTATGAATAATGAAGCTACTTCAGACCAACCCCTTTTAGATTTGCGTCGAGCGCAAGAGTCATTTATCCCGCCGGTTAAATAGCAACAGCGCCGAGATCCGCCCACAAATTTACTTGCGCTTTGCGCTTGACACTTGCGTTTTAGATCGTTAAAATAGGGCCCATAATGTTACAAAAGATTTATATTTCAAATAAATGGTGTTAAAAAAAAAACTAACTGACCCCAAACCTTTTAATGGTAGTCTATTTAGACAAAATCGTATAGAATATTCGCTGCATCGGCCAGAATTTTAACATCAGTGCATCCCTTATCAACAGAAATGTTCTTTGCCGAACAGACGGGGAGGGGGGAGTAGGCAAGCTTTGTGAAACTGGTGAAAAGCTGAAAATTAAAAGCAGCATTAACAAGATTACAGTGAGAAAAACGAGCAAGCAAACATAATCACTGATAAACATGGATAATCCGTGCGTGAAAAACTGTGATATCGGTATGATTACAAACTGGCTCTTTAAAATCGAGCAGTGATAATGAACAACAAGCACCAAGCACTTTATATTAGTGCCCCGCATATTTAATGCTAATTTGCTCTTTACTCATAGAATTGATTCTTCTCAAAAGCTTAATAAATCAGATTTTTGCATGTGGTCTCACATGGGAAACCACACTATGAAATAGACCCTTGATCTGAAAACAAATTCAATAAAGCATGCATCAATTCAACAAAGCGCTGATCCTTGAGTGAAAGCAGTGCTTTAACATTACATTTCATTAGTGATTCATTTCATTAAGGCACTTCTCTCAATCAAAACACGTGGGCAGCCAATCTTGCATTGAGAAAGGTACAGCGACTGCACAAGGTCCGTGTGACTCATCTGAAAAAATGGTGTTGTTTTCAAATAAACAGCTTCAGTTTATTTGCTTTTCATCAGTCGACGCAACATGGGCCCACAAGCCAGAGCCAGCAAAAGAGAGTCTTTACATTACAGAGCGCCCCAGCAGAGCAGCAGATGTTAGGCAATTCCTTCCCCTCCTGATCTGGTGAAGATACCTCATGCTGAGTCACATCTTTGACTTTTTCCAAAGCTAGATTAGAAATAACATCTAACTTAATGGCCAGATGTCAAGTGCACAAACATGTGGAACACACAATTTCTGCAAATGTAGTTAGTAATTGTCCTCAGATAATTGATTCCTAATCGGAAAAAGAAATAGAACATTTAGGACAAACGGAACAGAGGGAGGGAAAGGGAAAAGGACAGTACGTACTTGCTATTTTTCTTCTCATCCAGGGGCAAACAAAAAACCAGACCACACCGGCACATACCACAGCGCCAGCCAAGGTAATGAGGCCAATAGCCCAGACGGGGAGCATCTCCAAGCCCAGTACTGCACAAAAAAGGAGGAGAGTCACACGGTCACACACATCATTAAACTTTGCTGTGAGATTTATTAACAATCGAGTGAATATATTCTGAAAGAAAATGCATTTTACGTGGAAAGACAATGTGGCCTATTTAATGACAACAAGCAAACTCAAGGTAGATCAAGGACGTCTCTCGGGCGAATGTGACATCATTTCCAGTGATGGGAATAACGGCGTTATAAATAACGCCGTTACTAACGGCATTACTTTTTCCAGTAACGAGTAATCTAATTGATTACTCTTCTCATCTTAATAACGCCGTTCCCGTTACTGCCAAAAAATGCGGCGCGTTACTATAACTGATGAAGCTGGGTTTTTTTTTTTCATCAGACCAACTAGATCTCTGAGCGAGAGGCAAATACTTTTTTTACTGTTCTTCCTTGGTTAGTGGGCAGAGCACGAGACAAGCGCATAAATGCTGACGACTGAGGTAGAGTAAAATGTCATTGTAAGCCAATCAGAGGTAGAGTCGGGCGGGTGTTCGAAAGCACGCATAGTAGTGATGGGCATTCGGCACTTTTGACTCAGCTCACTGAAAAGAGCCGGCTCTTTTGGCTCACAAACGGCTCTTTAAATGACTTTGACTATAATATATATATTTTTTTTACATAATTATTTAATTTCTATAGGCTAAATTTGTAAAAAATAGAGTCGGCTCTTCAGATATGCGAGCCAGCTCCCGACGTTCACCTAAAAGAGCCGGCTCTTAGAGTCGCCTCATTCGCGAATCGCGAACGACCCATCAAAAGCTCATTCGCGAACGAGTCGATCCATCATCACTAACGGCTAACGCTCATGAATTGCGAACGACCCATCATAACGCATAGTCGGACAGGACAGGACACACAATGAACAACACAAGCAAGCCAGTCAGTCAACGAGAGACAGGTATGGCGACGAGCTTAACAAGCTTAATTTAATTTTGCCCAGTTGTGGCCTGTTGAGGGGCAATATATCAAAAGTTCCAAAACATCTATTGTGTTATTTGCATTGATCCACTATATAAACATAATATCTACATGGCATTTGATTGGAGGCTAGTCTCACTTTGTCCCACAGCAACATTTTTTTTTTTTTGATGTGTGTACAATGTTTCATGTTTCTGTTAATAATGTATTGTATTAAGTGTCCATTTCATTATAATATTCAGATTTATCATAAATAATTGAACATGCACATGTATTGTAAGTTCCGTTAAAGAGGGGTAGAGGCGGGGTCACATTTGAGCATTTAAAATTTAATTTTACTTGAAAGTAACGCAATAGTTACTTTAAGTAACTAGTTACTTTTAGTAACTAGTTACTTTTAAAATTTGTAACTGAGTAAATAATTTAGTTACTTTTTGGAAGTAGTAACTAGTAACTGTAACTAATTACTTTTTAAAAGTAACTTGCCCAACACTGATCATTTCAATACTGACTTACAGGGAGCGCCAGTGTACATGATGGAGAAGGTGTTGATCCCGATGGTCGAAGCGTAGAAGAGGGGCAAAGCGCGGAGACCATTGGGAACAGGGTCATCCTGTAATGGACAGATCGCAGAAAGGGTTTCAAATCTGTTTAAACCTACACAGATGATATGAATAAATACAAAACATTTCCAAAGTTACATTTAACACTCATTTCTTTTGTTTGTACATTAAAGTCACTGTCATTCTTAAATGTAGTTGCAATATTTTGTAGCTTAAAAGAACCACTCCATTGTTGGTCACAATTTAAAAGTAGCACATTTCAATCAGTGTTATAGTATTATTTATTTAGTACTACAGTATTAATTCATATTCTGTTGTGATTTTGTCATTATTATTTTTGGTTCTATTTAGCTTTAAATTATTTATTTCTAGTTTTAGTAATTTTAGTACTTCAGCTTAAACATATTTTAGTTAGTTGCCATGCCAACATCTCTAATTTTCATTTGTAGTTTTTTTATCTAATATTTTTATTTTATTTTATTTCAGCTTTATTCCAATTCCTTATTCCAATTAGTTTTAGTCAACAATAACGATACTGATTTAAATACTCTCTGAAAGGGATAGTTAACCCAGAAAATGAATATTTGATTATTATTTATTTAACAGGCAAAATGTTCAAGCCGCTCTTTTCCATACAATGAAGGTTGGGTTAAGCATCAAAACTACCAAAAAAAGAAGAAGAAAAAAAGAACCTGTCTATTTCTGAGCTTTGCAGAGAAGAACATTTTGAGTTATAGCTGCACGAATCTGGATAAATTGAGAACCCCCTTTTTAAAAAAATAGAGATCACGATTCTCCCACGACTCTAAATAGACAACTAAACAAAATAACGTAATTAAACCAGACATAAAAAAAAAAAACATTTTGTATGAATGATTCAATGACTTATAAAGTTTCACTTGTTTACTGTATGAATCAGCGTTTTTGAACAAATCTATTGAATGGATAATAAAATGGCAAATACATTTTTAAAAAGTCATTTGTTTCCACCTAGTGGTGTAACATTGTAAATTATACAATCCTTATTTGATGCGTCAAGCTACTTTCAAGAGGTGATTTTAATCGCTACCGTACAGCGTTTATATCAAAAATATTAACTTTTATCCCAGTACTTCTGCGATCATTTGAATTATTGTAACACAGATATAATGATACTGTTGTTGAAAAGACTGTTTGTGAAGCTGTTTCATTCCTATACGACTTCTGCTATCACTGGCCAAGCGGCAGCACCAACACAGATCTGAATGTTCACTGTGATCGCACTTGTCCAAGGTTTAACAGACATAATGATTAATCATGTGGCTCTATTTTCAGTGTATATTAAAATATATATATTTTTAAAACTTAAAAACTAAGAAACTTTAAAAAAATATATACATCTCTATAGTTCCTCACACAAAGCAAATCACATGGCTTCAGAAAACGTTGAATATAGCACGCAAGTAGCATGGACCATTTTTCGTTTTTTTGTTATTATGAATTTTGTTGTCTTTTCGGAGCTTGGGATTACCATCTATTACATTTTACTCGCATTATTGCATTATTCATATATTATATATATATGAATTTTCATTTTTAGGTGAACTGTTCCTTTAAACCACTGTGCTTATGTGGCCACTGGTAAGAATGCATTTCCCAGTTCCTAACTCTTTAAGGATTAAATATTTAAGTGTTTACAGAAGCAGAGCCTACACCAGGCTCACATTTAAAAGATGAACTGCTGTCGACTGTAAAGCAGTTCCTGTGCCATCACAGATGAGCTATTGTCAAAGCCATCTAAACAGCCACAGGCACCGCTACTTGGAAATAGCTGAATGCATGTTAAACAGTAAATAGAAATGAGAACATGTGATGTCTTATAAAGGACTGGTGATGGAACGGTATACAACACGGAAGGACTGGGAGAAGGCCTCTACAGCACGTGTGAATCAAAAGCCAAAAAGCGCCGGTCTCAGTACTTTGATCCTTTTCCCCCCCTTCGTTTTGACACAGAAATTTGTCAAAACGAGATCACTGAATTAAGGTGATATAAGACAGGTGTAATAATAGTCGACCCATAACTCACCTTGCTAAGAATTAAATATCTGATGATGAAGAAGAGCAGGCCAGACATCAGGCCAGACAGCAGAGGGGAGATGAACCAGGAGGCAACTGCATCAAATACAGCAATTACTAAATCAATAGCTTTCCAATATAATTATGCATTACGCAGCTAGAGGCACAAAGGCCAACAGCTGACATTACATTAATTACAGATCTCGGTTACAAGAATATTGACAGCAAAATAATTATAATTTTAATCCAGAGAAACAATATATATAAAAATACGGTTCAAACATTTGAGGTTGGTAAGGTTTTTCATGTTTATTATAAAAGAAGTCTCTTACACTCATAAAGGCTGCATTTATTTGATCAATATTGCGAAATGTTATTACCATTTTAAATAGCTGTATTCTATTTGAATATATTGTAAAATGTAATTTATTCCTGTGATGGGGTAAAGCTGAATTTTCAGCATTGCTACTTTAGTCTTCAGTGTCACATGATCCTTCGGAAATCATTCTACTATGCTGATTTGCTGCTCAAGAAACATTTCTAATTATTATCAATGTTGAAAACAGTTGTGCTGCATAATAGTTTTTGTGGAAACCATGATACATTTTTTCAGGATTTGTTGATGAATAGAAATGATATCATTTTTTGATATCCTTGCTAAACAAAGAACTGCTTTAAAAAAAATCTTACTAACCCTACATGTTTGAACAGTGTAGCAAAGCGTAGCATTAAGTAAAAAACAGTGCACTAAAAGAGGAATTAGACAGCAGAAACAAATAGTAAAAGACTGACCTTAAGCACTCAGTTGCATCAAAGCAATGAACAAAAATGTTTTCTGGCGATCAAATAACTACCATAGTATGATAAATAATGAATTTCATAATGGATTTTTTACCAATTTTGACTAACTGCATCCACTGTACTCCTTTAGTGCCAATAGCAACCATGGAGAAGCCAATAGTTGATCCCACAATGCAATGAGTTCCAGAAATGGGCAACTTCAGAAAAGAGGCAATGAGCTGCCAAGCCGCAGACCCTGAAAGAGACGGGAATATGAGTGGGAGGTGGAGCAGAAAAAAGTCTTTCAGCCATATGTTCTCTTCCCTTCTGTCTTCAATACAGTCTCTGGACGGGATACTATTAAAATTGTTACAACATAGCTATTCACTACCAACTGACATTAAAGAACTCCCAACGACATGTTTGATTTCATTACACAACTTCTTTTATACCATCTATGCAATGTTCTAACTTTGAGTTTTACATGTCTAGATAAAAATGTGTCCCATAAAGCTAATTTAACTCAGGCATCAGCTAAGTCACTCAATAGCAACTCACTATAATGTAATCATAACTCCCAGAACCTGGCAGCCTACAAAAAATAAACAAATGCCTCGCTAAGCTTCTCCATCATTAATCTTCAAAATGACACACTGAGGTTTCAACTTTAAACGAGCCATTACTTACCGACCATGGCGCTGACCTCTCCAGCCATCAGTACCGGCACAGTGTCATTGTATAAAGTAACATCTATAATTCCCTTCCGAATGGTTTCCCCGACTTTGGCACCAAGGAGCATGGAGCCCAGGGTCTCAAATATGGAAGCCAGGATACAGGCCTGACGTAGCGTCACCACTCCTGACCCGACAGCTGTGCCAAACGAGTTTGCCACGTCATTGGCCCCCACTGAAAATGCCAGGATGAAGGCTATAATGAAGCCAAGCACGACCATCCACAGGTACGAATCTGTTTCCATCTTGGATTTTGTTCAGGCAAAGCTTACAAATGAATGCCAAACAACCAACTACAAAGAACTGGAGTAAGGTGCTGTACTACGAAGGAAATTCTCCTTTGCTCGTTTCTTTTTTCTCCCAACTTTCCCCAGGTTAGAAGAGTTCTTGGGGGAGAGGTACACTGCTAACTAAGCCGTTTAACCTCAGTCTGTAGAGTGCTGAGCAGTGTAGGCAGGAGAGAGCATTCCATTGTTTGGCCCTCTAAGTGTCCTGTCCACAAAGACGCCTTCAGCTGTCAAAACAAGAGAGACAAGGACATCATTACACAGTATTCACACTTTCCTTATAGACTGCATAATGTAGCCAAAAAGACCATGGGAAATGGAAAAGTTGGACAGACAGGTGTTGGGGACGTCGAGGAATGTGAAAAATTAATTAATAACAGTAATAAACATGAAATAAAAATGATAAAATGACAAAATGAATTAAAAACTAGCCAGAATGAGTAACAGTAGGGGTGTTATATCACATTCACAATATAGTCAGTTTTGCTTTAAATATGTTTTTTTATAAAATAATACAAATTTTGATACCATAGACATTTCATAATTCTTGTCACCATTGTCAATATCACAAAAAACTAATACTAGCCAAACTAAATAAAAAAAACTCAAGCTTACTGAAGACATGTAAACAGTCAGTGATAAAATAAGAACAAATAAACTAATTACAAGCAATAGGATAAAAAAAAACTACAATAGAACAAATAAACTAATTACAAGCAATAGGATAAAAAAAACTACAATAGAACAGATATAACTAAAAAAGACCTTTTTGAAAAACTTCAAGCACTACATAAATTGTATTAAGCAATCAAATGTATAAAAGAAAACTCTGTGTGGTCTTTACTGTGTAAATTAAACATACATTTGTTCTTATTAAAATTACAAAAAATTATTAAGTCAAGAGCAGTGAGGGATTTTCTCTCTTTTGTAGTTTTATTAACATGAAAGACAGACAGTAGAAATATATTAGGCTGCTGTCACTTTAAGAGCTGTGAACTTCCAATATACTGTTATACATGCGTTTCCCATCTCAACTGTGTACGTTCACTTAAGGCATAAATGACTGTATTTACTAGTATACTCACAAAGACAGGTATTTTGACATACAAGTGCGTTTATTTAACCATTCAAGGCCAATAAAGCGGAAAAATAACAGACAGCGCTGAGAAACAGCGCACATATAGCAAAATGAGTTACATTTAGCTGCCTATTGCGCCTCAATGGTTTAAAATCACTTGTTTTTAAACCACAACGCTTAAATGTTGACACATTTCTAGCGGTTAATCGTGTCTACCAATATAGCCCACCCCTAAGTAACAGGGTTGAAAATTAGGGTTATCAGGAAGGGTTAGCTATAGGAACTACTGTTGGTTTGTAGCTATTTTCCATAAATATAAGAAAAATATTTATTTAATAATTTTCACAAAAAGTTTGATATCTTTATACACATACAGTACAAACTAGAGTCAAAAACTCGACATCAAACTTCAACAAACGGTCAAAAAGAAGGTGCTTTCCTTCAGAAAATGGTTACTATAAACCTCAAGAATTCAACCTTTAGGACATACATAAATACATTTTGGAACAGTGATCCAGTGATTTCTTTCTAGTAATAAACATTATTAAATTCATCATTAAAAATAAATAAATAAATAAACACACCAGAATGTGTAACAAGGTTGAATATTTGCCATTCAGAAAGGGCTATCTAGTAAGGAACTTGTGTTAGTTTCATAGATTTAAGAAAAATATTTGTTTGGTAATTTTCCCCCCTCACAATAACTTGAGTAACAGGGCTGAAGGTTGAGCGTAAATACAGAACAATTTGTGTAATAATTGAGAAAATTAAACAAGATGTTAATTGTCTTCCTGCCATGCTGTAAAAAAAAATAGAGAATTGTTACATTGTTTGGAATAAGGGTGAAAATCATGTGGTAACAGGATTAATAATCAGAAATTCGTTTGACTACAATGAATTGAGTATTTCAACAGTTTATGACGATATTATGATGTTATTGTATGATTTTAATCGTTGGAAAGAGTCAGAAAAGTCGAGAACTTTGAAGAGAGACAGACCAAAATAACCATACATACATCTGGTATGTTAAAATTAAATTAACATGAAAATGTGCTATGTGTAATTAAAGTACAATATGATTTATTTACCAAAAAACTTGGGATTTCAAGGTTTAAAATAAGATAACATATAGCATTACATAAAACAGTAAGAAAACCACTTGAGCACTTACATTAACTGTCCACCTTACACTACGACACCAAGGGCGAAGCGTTCAGGTGTGACCAAGACACACAGTCGTACACTGTCGTCCATAACAGAATGTAGCAGCACAGTAAGCACTGCAAAACAATCACTCGTGCTTCACACCTCCTCTCTGCTTCTTGGCTTCGTTTCAGGTTTGAGTCTCCCACCGAGGCGAAGCAGTACAGCGAGTCGTGCTCCAGCTGCACTGTGCAACACTGCGGAGTCGCAGCCCCTAATACCCGCTTACAGCCTCCTCGCTTCCTGCTTTCCCCGCTCTAAGAATCTTAGTGGGTCAAATTCATTGGAAAACGGCAGGGCTGTAAAAGGGCCACTATGTGCTTGGTGAAATCTGATCAGTCCTGTTTATCGGAACGACTGATCCCACACCACAGGGGGACAGTACAGTATTTAGAGCATCAGTCAACAGCTGATGACAGACTGGACTTTAAAGCATTACAAAGACACAGTATACGATCATGTAGTGACGTCAAAACAAACACCTGTAAAATTACAGAGCGTTCTCACCACAGGCCAGACCTGCAATGCAGAGGCTGAAAAATCACTGCTCAGAACTGATATCCCGAAGTCAACTCGATGGGGGACAACGGTACATTCTTCTACTTCACTAAGCCTTTTGTTTAAAGGGAATTAAATGTAAACAGTGGGAAAGCCAGACTAATACATGCTCAAGGTATTTACTGATTGTGTGCCAGAGTCCCGTGAACGGCAACACCTCACGTATCAAACATCACATGGTTGTTGACTTTGTCACAAAAGATGGTCTGTATAGTATAGCTGCATTTTTTTTTTTCAAATAGAGATCACGATTCTCCCACGACTTTGAACAGACAACTAAACAAAATAACACTTAATTTACTAGAGGCTCTGACAAAATATGAATTTGCTGCTGTATATGCCATCAACACCAAGGGGGACAGGGAGTTTGAGAAACCTGTCTGAAACTGTCCCAATTTTTGCAATTCAATTTAGATCGGACCACTAACTTTACCGATAAAAAGAACCCGATACAGTGTCTTCCTCGGTTGAAATCACATTCTATTAAAATTTCTAATCAGCATATTAGAACGATTTCTGAAGGATAAATATATTCAAATAGAAAACAATTATTTTAAATTGTAATATTTCATAATATTACTGTTTTTAATCAAATAAATGCAGCCTTGATGAGCACATGAGACTGTTTAAAAAAATGTTTTTTTTTCTAAATCATATACTAACCCCAAACATTTGAATGGTAAATATATTAGAGATGCACCGATACTAAATTTCTCCGCCATTACGATAGCGATTATTCAGAATAATATCTGCCGATGCCGATACCGATAGTTAGATTTTTCTTAAGAAGAAAAAAAAAAAAACGCTCACAAATAATGCTGCAAACTATACAGGGAACCCTCTCATTTGGTACACTATAAGATTAGAGATAAAAGTTCACAACAGAGCCATTGTATTCAACTGCTATTTATTTCCAGATATAATATTTACACTCAAATTAAAGCGGAAATGTTTGTAAACAGCTCAGTTGACCATAAGGTATTTTTCATAAACACTTCTTACATATATAATTAACAGTAAATAAGCTCTTCTTTAGTGTTTTTATAGCTAACTAACAAACTGTGGCCACTGGTTAACTTCCCTGAGGTAAATGCAAACATTAAGTAATATTGTTCAGAAGCTGTTCTATTGACTTCTTTACGTGGTTGTAACACAGATTGAGTGATTCTACGAGTCATGATACGGATTTCTATTTGTTCTGTTAAAGAGCTATTGTCTCGTTAACTTGCCCTAAATTAAACACAAGAGAGATTTTCCTCACACACACAGTATGAGTTGCAGTCTGACATGTTTTTCCACACCCTTTTGATTGGCACTGATCATCAGCTGTTTTTAAACAATCGGCCGATGGCAAAAATAATAGCTTTAACTGGCCGATACCGATTATTGGCCGATACATCGGTGGATTCACATTATGAAATAAACGTTTTTCTCCAAAACACGTTGGCCACAATTATTGGCACCCTTTTATTAAATACTTTTTGCAATCTCCTTTTGCCAAGATAACAGCTCTGAGTTTTCTCCTATAATGCCTGATGAGTTTGGAGAACACCTGACAGGAGATCAGAGACCATTCCTCTTCCAGATCCTTTCATCAGGTCAGGGAACTGGGATGGTCATGGCAGAAGCTTCATTTTGTGCTCCGTAACTAATTTTTGTGTTGATTTTGATGTTTGTTTTGGATCACTGTCCTGATAGAAGATCCAACCACGGCCCATTATAAGTCCAGGTGGACACATGGAAGTCCAGGACCTCCAGCAGAAAAATATGCCCACAACATTAAAGATCCAATGGTTTATTAAATTGTACACATGGGGTACTTTTAATCCTTGTGTGCACCAAACCCATCTAGTGTGTTTGCTGCCAAAAAGCTCTTTTTTTTTAGTTTCATCTGACCACAGAACCCTGTCCCGTTTGAAGATCCAGTCATGTCTGACAACTGAATTTGCTGGAGTTTGTTCTTGGATGAGCGAGGAAGATTTTTCTTGAAACCCTCCCAAACAACATGTGGAGATGTAGGGGTTGTTTGATTTTTTTTTTATAGGCTTTCTGACTCCAAGAATCAACTAATCTCTGCAATTCTCCATCTATGATCCTTGAAGAGTCTTTGGACACTCAAACTTTCATCCTCACCGTCCATTAAGGTAATATAGACACACGTCCTCTTCCTGGCAGATTCGTAACATCTTTAGTTGATTGGAACTTCTTAATTATTGCCCTGATGGTCAAAATGGGGATTTTCAACTCTTTAGCTATTTTCTTACAGCCACTTTCTATTTTGTGATGCTCAACAATCTTTTGCTGCACATCAGAACTATATTCTTTGGTTTTACTCATTGTGATGGATGATTGAGGGAATTTGGCCTTTGTGTTTCCTCATATTTAAAC